TTGATTAAAAGGGCTCTACTACACTACTTAAACTTACTTAAAATTGATTAAAAAGGGCTCTACCTACACTACTTAAAATTGATAAATAAGCTACCTACACTACTTAAAATTGATTAAAAAGGGCTCTACCTACACTACTTAAAATTGATTAAAAAGGGCTCTACCTACACTACTTAAAATTGATTAAAAAGGGCTCTACCTACACTACTTAAAATTGATGTAAAAACTACACTACTTAAATTGATTAAAAGGGCTCTACCTACACTACTTAAAATTGATGTAAATAAGGGCTTACACTACTTTGATTAAAAGGGCTCTACCTACACTACTTAAAATTGATTAAAAAGGTACCTACACTACTTAAAATTGATTAAAAAGGGCTCTACCTACACTACTTAAAATTGATTAAAAAGGGCTCTGATTAAAAAGACCTACACTACTTAAAATTGATGTAAATAAGGTGCTCTACCTACACTACTTAGAATTGATTAAAAAGGGCTCTACCTACACTACTTAAAATTGACTCTACCTACACTACTTAAAATTGATTAAAAAGGGCTACCTACACTACTTAAAATTGATTAAAAAGGGCTCACCTACACTACTTAAAATTGATTAAAAAGGGCTCTACTACACTACTTAAAATTGATTAAAAAGGCTCTACCTACACTACTTAGGGGCTCTACCTACACTACTAAAATTGATTAAACTCTACCTACACTACTTAAAATTGATTAAAAGGGTCTACCTACACTACTTAAATTGATGTAAAAGGTGCTCTACTACACTACTTAAAATTGATTAAAAAGGGCTCTACCTACACTACTTAAAATTGATTAAAAAGGGCCTACACTACTTAAAATTGATGTAAATAAGGTGCTCTACCTACACTACTTAAAATTGATTAAAAAGGGCTCTACCTACACTACTTAAATTGATTAAAAAGGGCTCTACCTACACTACTTAAAATTGATTAAAAGGTCTCCTACACTACTTAAAATTGATTAAAACCTACACTACTTAAAATTGATTAAAAAGGGCTCTACCTACACTACTTAAAATTGATTAAAAAGGGCTCTACCTACACTACTTAAAATTGATGCTCTACCTACACTACTTAAATTGATTAAAAAGGGCTCTACTACACTACTCTACTTACTACTACTACTTAAAATTGATTAAAAAGGGCTCTACCTACACTACTTAAAATTGATTAAAAAGGGCTCTACCTACACTACTTAAAATTGATGTAAATAAGGGCTCTACCTACACTACTTAAAATTGATTAAAAAGGGCTCTACCTACACTTACTAAATTGATTAAAGGGCTCTACCTACACTACTTAAAATGATTAAAAAGGGCTCTACTACACTACTTAAAATTGATTAAAGGGCTCTACCTACACTACTTAAAATGATTAAAAAGGGCTCTACCTACACTACTTAAAATTGATTAAAAGGGGCTCTACCTACACTACTTAAAATTGATTAAAAAGGGCTCTACCTACACTACTTAAAATTGATGTAAATAAGGTGCTCTACTACACTACTTAAAATTGATTAAAAGGGCTCTACCTACACTACTAAAATTGATTAAAAAGGGCTCTACCTACACTACTTAAAATAACTCTGATGTAAAAGGTGCTTACTACACTACTTAAAATTGATTAAAAAGGGCTCTACCTACACTACTTAAAATTGATTAAAAAGGGCTCTACCTACACTATTAAAATTGATTAAAAGGGGCTCTACCTACACTACTTAAAATTGATGTAAATAAGGTGCTCTACCTACACTACTTAAAATTGATTAAAAAGGCTCTACCTATACTACTTAATTGATTAAAAGGGCTCTACCTACACTACTTAAAATTGATTAAAAAAAAAGGTCTTACTACACTACTTAAAATTGATTAAAAGGGGCTCTACACTACTTAAAACTACACATACTACTTAAAATTGATTAAAAAGGGCTCTACCTACACTATTAAAAATTAAAAAGGGCTCTACCTACACTACTTAAAATTGATTAAAAAGGGCTCTACCTACACTACTTAAAATGATTAAAAGGGCTACCTACACTACTTAAATTGATTAAAAGGGCTCTACCTACACTACTTAAAACTGATTAAAAGGGGCTCTACCTACACTACTTAAAATTGATTAAAAAGGGCTCTTACCTACACTACTTAAAATTGATTAAAAAGGGCTCTACCTACACTACTTAAAATTGATTAAAAAGGGCTCTACCTACACTACTTAAAGATTAAAAAAAGGGCTCTACCTACACTATTAAAATTAAAAGGGGCTCTACACTACTTAAATTGATTAAAAAGGGCTCTACCTACACTACTTAAAATTGAGGGGCTCTACCTACACTACTTAAAATTGATTAAAAAGGGCTCTACCTACACTACTTAAAATTGATTAAAAAGGGCTCCACCTACACTACTTAAAATTGATGTAAATAAGGTGCTCGACCTACACTACTTAAAATTGATTAAAAGGGGCTCTACCTACACTACTTACTACTACTTAAAATTGATGTAATAAGGTGCTCTACCTCTTAAAATGCACTACTACTTAAAATTGATGTAAATAAGAACTACTTAAAATTGATGTAAAAATGCTCCAAATATGCTACTTACAATTATATAAAGAGGCTTTATCCATGATACTTAAAACAGATTTAAAAAGCTCTACCTATGCTACTTAAAATTGATGTAAAAAAAGGCTTCACATATTCTACTTAAATTGATGTAAAAAAAGGTAAAAAAGGCTCTAACTATTCTACTTAAATTGATGTAAAAAAGGCTCTAAATATTCTACTTAAATTGATGTAAAAAAAGGCTCTAACTATTCTACTTAAATTGATGTAAAAAAGGCTTCACATATTCTACTTTAAATTGATGTAAAAAAAAAAGGCTCTAAATATTCTACTTAAATTGATGTAAAAAAGGCTCTAAATATTCTACTTAAATTGATGTAAAAAAAAAAGGCTCTAACTATTCTACTTAAATTGATGTAAAAAAGGCTCTAAATATTCTACGTAAATTGATGTAAAAAAAGGCTCTAACTATTCTACTTAAATTGATGTAAAAAAAAGACTCTAAATATTCTACTTAAATTGATGTAAAAAAAGGCTCTAAATATTCTACTTAAATTGATGTAAAAAAAAGGCCTAACTATTCTACTTAAATTGATGTAAAAAAGGCTCTAAATATTCTACTTAAATTGATGTAAAAAAAAAGGCTCTAAATATTCTACTTAAATTGATGTAAAAAAAGGCTCTAAATATTCTACTTAAATTGATGTAAAAAAAAAAAAGGCTCTAACTATTCTACGTAAATTGATGTAAAAAAAAAAGGCTCTAAATATTCTACTTAAATTGATGTAAAAAAAAGGCTCTTAAATTGATGTAAAAAAAAGGCTCTAAATATTCTACTTAAATTGATGTAAAAAAAAAAAGGCACTAACTATTCTACTTAAATTGATGTAAAAAAATGCTCTACCTATACTACTTAAATTAATGTAAAAAAAAAAGGCACTAACTATTCTACTTAAATTGATGTAAAAAAAGGCTCTAAATATTCTACTTAAATTGATGTAAAAAGGCTCTAAATATTCTACTTAAATTGATGTAAAAAATGCTCTACTTATACTTAAGATTGATGTCAAAAACCTCTACCTATACTACGTCAAGTTTATGTGAAAAAGGCTCTACCTATACTACTTAGACTGATGTCAAAATGCCTTTAATTATACTTAAGATATAAGTAAAAATGGATCTACCTATACTAGTTGAAGTTGATGTCAAAAAGGCTCTAATTATACAACTTTATATTGAGATAGAAAAGCCTCTACCTATACTACTTAAAAGTGATAAACTACTTAATCTACATTACTTATAACTGATGTCAAAAAGGCTCTACTTATACTACCTACGAGATTAAGATTTAATGTTGAGCTGAAAAAATCATAATCATTATCATTATCAATTGTTATTACCATTGTAATTATCATCATCATCATCATCATTCTCATCATCTTTATATTCATCTTCATCTTCATCACCATTATAATCTTACAATTTCTTTAACATCCATTACGAGACTTCAGCGGATGGCGGATGAGATTAAATAAATAAATAAATAAATAAACATGAAAAAAGACAAAAAAAAAAAAAAAAAAAAATGCTCTTAAGGCAGTATATTGTTAAAATGATTAATATTATTCCCATTATTATTATCACTATTATTATTATTATTATTATTATCATGATTATTAATTATTACATCATATTATTATTATCACTCATAATTATCACTGTCATGATTATCATTAATATTATCATTTTATTTTCTTCTTATCTTTTGTCTTTTCTTTTTTTTATTACTTTTCTTTTCTTTTTTCAATTACCTTGTCCTACCTATATACACTTTATGATATGTTAATTAATATGTTAATTAAGCTTGTTAATTCGATACAACGCTTTAAGTTTCTTTTATTATTTCAGTTTCTTTGGAAGTCTTATTTGGTTCCTTGTTGTTTTTGTTGTTGTTGTTTTGTTGGTGTAATTTTATTCATTTATTTTTGTTTATTTTTATGCATTTATTTATTTATTTTTACTGTTTCTTAATTTCATTCCATTTTTTTTTTTTTTTTTATGGGGATTAGCCCCACGGAGTTTGGGGGGTCGGGGTGGGGTTGGGGGGGTTGGGGGGGGAGTGGCTGCAACTAGGCTCATGACTTCTTTGTGGCGCGAGGACTGTCTCCCATAATTCTCTCGTTTATGATCCGATTTGGTTTGCAAATTGCTGAACAAATACTCTTTCCACATCCCCTTTGCGACCTTTCTCAGCTTTCCCTTCCCTCGCCGCTCCACCTGGTCGGACAAGTCGACCTCCCAGGATTCCCTCCGGCGAAAGGGCGCGACTCAAACTCCGAGCGATTAAAGCAACTTTTAATAACAGAACAAGAGCCGAGGACAGACGCCGCCGCCTCAGTGGCCGCCGCCGTAGCCTCCGCCGCCGCCGAAGCCGCCGTGGCCCGTGCCCTTGGCCCGCGCCAGCGCCTTCTGCGCGGCGGAGGTGGCCTGCGCCGCCGCGGCCTGCGCGGAGTCCAGGTCGTTGAGAGCAACAGACTGCTGCTGCGCCAGCGCATGCGCCGCCTGCTGCGCCTGCCACGCCATGGTGGCCTGGTTGTTGTAGGCCGCCTGCGCAGCATGCAGAGTCTGGGCTGCCTGCGCCGCCTGCGCCTCGGCGGCTGCCTGCGCCTGCGCCAGATTGCGCGCCTGCTGCACGGCCCACTGCTTGGCTGCCTCTGCAGCCTGCACGGCTTTGGCGGCCTTGGCGGCTTGCGCAGACTCGGAGAAGGCGGCAGACTGCGCCGCCTGCGCTGCCTGAGTCACCTGCGCGGCCTGCTGGTACTTGGCCGCCGCCGCCGACTGCGCCGTCTGCGCGGCGGAGGAGGCCTGGTACGCCACCTGCTGCGACGCGGCGTTGGCGGCAGCCCAGGCGGCGCCGTCCTGCGACGCCACGGCGGCGCTGGCCTGTCCGGCGGCCTGGTTGGCCACGTCGGCCGCCGAGGTGCCGTGGCCGCCGCCGCCGTAGCCGCCGCTCGAAATCACGTAGCCGCCGCCGCCGCCGCCGCCGTGTCCTCCTCCGCCGTAGCCGCCGCCGCCCGTGTAGCCTCTCTTGACCTGCAGGGAGCAGGACCGTTAACCACCTCATCCATATCCGGCAACTGATCGCATTTAACTGAAGAGCAATGAAGGGCCAAAGGCTCACACACTCACCCTTGGGGTCGACGCGTCCTCCGAGGCGCTCTGCTGAGGTCGACCTCGGACCGCGCCTGCGGGGACAGAGATCAAGGGTCAGAGGTGCTTAGTCGGGCCGAGAGGCAGAGATAGATTAGAGGAGAGAGAGAAGGAGGGGAAAGAGAAAGAAAGGGAGAGGGAGAAAGAAAATGAGAAAGAGTAAGCAGAGGAGAAACACATGATGTTTACCTAAAGACAGTATCTTGTTCATTCTTCATTTTGAACAAGCAGGCATATTCAACATAAATGGACATGTCAGTTCGTTCTAAAATACAAATAGTGGGGTAAAAATCCTCAACTCCCTTCAAAAGGTATTTTAAAGTTTTCTCAAGAAACCAAGCAAACCTGAAAGCAGAAGAATGCCAAAGAGAGCCGTGATCTTCATGTTGAATGGATCCTGTCTGGCGAAGGTGTGACGAACAGGACGCGAGAGCAGCCTTTTTATACTCGGGCTCCTTTCTCTGCCGGAAGGCCTACAGGTGCCAAGTCGAAGTTTTTATTTTATTTTCATTTTCTTTTTTCTCTCTCTCTTTCTCTCTTTGATGTATCATTCACGCGCCAATTCCCGTAATCTATGCAGAAAAAAAAAAAAAATCTGGTATAGGTCTATGGACTGAAACCACAAATAGTGATGAGAACTATAATGCAGTTAAGTCTACGAACCGAAATAAGTTGATATGATGAAAGAAAGAGTTAATGATGAGCTTCTCAGGTTTCTTTCGGAATATATATATATATATATATATATATATATATATATATATATATATATATATATATATATATATATATATATATATATATATATATATATATATATATATATATATATATATATATATATATATATATATATATATATATATATATATATATATATATATATATATATATATATGATATATTATATATATATATATAATATATATATATATATATATATATATATATATATATATATATGTATATATATATATATATATATATATATATATATTATATATATATATATATATATATATATATATATATATATATATATGTATATGTATATATATGTATATATATATATAATATATATATATATATATATATATATATATATATATATATATATATATATATATATATATATATATATATATATATATATATATATCATACGTATAATTCTATATACAGATAACAGATAAATAGATAGATTCACACAACTCAGTAATACCATGAAGGAAAAAAGTCAAATCCTACACCTTCCACCAAATACAGAATTATTTTGAATCACGACTGTTACCACAATTCCGGTATGTAATCAGAGTTTGCCTTCGTATCATACTGTATAAAAATGTTTATGAAATTACAATCTAAGGAATAGTTTTGCGAAATTTAAGTTATTGGAGAGGTTAAACACAATTTAAGTCTGTCATCCGTCATGTGTCACCTGTCATGTGTCATGTGTCATTACATTCACGCCAAAAGTACCTCCATTACTGCAAACCATGCATCCGTCATGTGTCACCTGTCATGTGTCATGTGTCATTTGTCTTTCCATTCACATACGTACCTCCATTACTGCAAACCATGCATCCGTCATGTGTCACCTGTCATGTGTCATTACATTCACGCCATAAGTACCTCCATTACTGCAAACCATGGATCCGTCATGTGTCACCTGTCATATGTCATGTGTCATTTGTCTTTCCATTCACATAAGTACCTCCATTACTGCAAACCATGCATCCGTCATGTGTCACCTGTCATATGTCATGTGTCATTTGTCTTTCCATTCACATAAGTACCTCCATTACTGCAAACCATGCATCCGTCATGTGTCACCTGTCATGTGTCATGTGTCATTTGGCATTCCATTCACACCATAAGTACCTCCATTACTGTAAACCATTCGAATTAACATATCTGTAACTTATACATAAACAATAACAACGTTTACACATTAGTTAGATTCTGTGTACATAACATATATATGCGACATTACAATACGCACACACATTTCCATGCATGTGTGTGTGTTTATATAATCTATGGTAACTTGCAGGAGGCTGAGAGAACAAAACAAATTAACGAGAGAAAAATAGATAATTTAAAGTAATAAAAAAATAAATAATTTAAATAACAAGATGATAAAATTAATTAATTTGATTTAATTAATCTAAAATAATTAAGTTAATTTAAAATGATAATAAATAAATAAATTAAAATAAACAAATAAATATTTTAGATAATAAAATGAATTAATTTAATTTAATTAATCTAAAATAATAAAATTAATTCAAAACGATAAAAAATAAATATTTTGAAATAATAAAAAATAAATAATTTAAAAAGAATAAAAAAAATAAATAATTTAGAATAATAAAAAAAATAAATAAAAGAAAATAAAATAATTTTTAAAAAGCTACCAAGATGGCGCCGATGAGTCTTACTTCGCTCTATCGCCTCGAATTAACGGGAGCTTTATCGACGTCGTTTCTCGTTTCTCGTTTTTCTTCTCAAAGTCTCGTCGTTAATTGTCTCGTTTTGTTCTCGTCTGCTTATCGTTTCCCGTTTTTTTTTTTTTTTTTTTTTTTTGTCTCGTCAACATCTCTTCTCGTCGTTTCTCGTTTTTCTTCTCCAAGTCTCGTCGTTAACTGTCTCGTTTTGTTCTCGTCTGCTTATCGTTCCCCGTTTTTTTTTTTTTTTTTTTTTTGTCTCGTCAAACATCTCTTCTCGTCGTTTCTCGTTTTTCTTCTCCAAGTCTCGTCGTTAACTGTCTCGTTTTGTTCTCGTCTGCTTATCGTTCCCCGTTTTTTTTTTTTTTTTTTTCTCGTTAACATCTCTTCTCGTCGTTTCTCGTTTCTCGTTTTTCTTCTCCAAGTCTCGTCGTTAACTGTCTCGTTTTGTTCTCGTCTGCTTATCGTTCCCCGTTTTTTTTTTTTTTTTTTTTTGTCTCGTTAACATCTCTTCTCGTCGTTTCTCGTTTCTCGTTTTTCTTCTCCAATCTCGTCGTTAACTGTCTCGTTTTTGTTCTCGTCTGCTTATCGTTCCCCGTTTTTTTTTTTTTTTTTGTCTCGTTAACATCTCTTCTCGTCGTTTCTCGTTTCTCGTTTTTCTTCTCCAAGTCTCGTCGTTAACTGTCTCGTTTTGTTCTCGTCTGCTTATCGTTCCCCGTTTTTTTTTTTTTTTTTTTGTCTCGTTAACATCTCTTCTCGTCGTTTCTCGTTTCTCGTTTTTCTTCTCCAAGTCTCGTCGTTAACTGTCTCGTTTTGTTCTCGTCTGCTTATCGTTCCCCGTTTTTTTTTTTTTTTTTTGTCTCGTTAACATCTCTTCTCGTCGTTTGTCGTTTCTCGTTTTTTCTTCTCCAAGTCTCGTCGTTAACTGTCTCGTTTTGTTCTCGTCTGCTTATCGTTCCCCGTTTTTTTTTTTTTTTTTTTTTTGTCTCGTTAACATCTCTTCTCGTCGTTTCTCGTTTCTCGTTTTTCTTCTCCAAGTCTCGTCGTTAACTGTCTCGTTTTGTTCTCGTCTGCTTATCGTTCCCCGTTTTTTTTTTTTTTTTTTTTTTGTCTCGTTAACATCTCTTCTCGTCGTTTCTCGTTTTTCTTCTTCCAAGTCTCGTCGTTAACTGTCTCGTTTTGTTCTCGTCTGCTTATCGTTCCCCGTTTTTTTTTTTTTTTTTTTTTGTCTCGTTAACATCTCTTCTCGTCGTTTCTCGTTTCTCGTTTTTCTTCTCCAAGTCTCGTCGTTAACTGTCTCGTTTTGTCTCGTCTGCTTATCGTTCCCCGTTTTTTTTTTTTTTTTTTTTGTCTCGTTAACATCTCTTCTCGTCGTTTCTCGTTTCTCGTTTTTCTTCTCCAAGTCTCGTCGTTAACTGTCTCGTTTTGTTCTCGTCTGCTTATCGTTCCCGTTTTTTTTTTTTTTTTTTTTGTCTCGTTAACATCTCTTCTCGTCGTTTCTCGTTTCTCGTTTTTCTTCTCCAAGTCTCGTCGTTAACTGTCTCGTTTTGTTCTCGTCTGCTTATCGTTCCCCGTTTTTTTTTTTTTTTTTTTTGTCTCGTTAACATCTCTTCTCGTCGTTTCTCGTTTCTCGTTTTTTTCTTCTCCAAGTCTCGTCGTTAACTGTCTCGTTTTGTTCTTCGTCTGCTTATCGTTCCCCGTTTTTTTTTTTTTTTTTTGTCTCGTTAACATCTCTTCTCGTCGTTTCTCGTTTCTCGTTTTTCTTCTCCAAGTCTCGTCGTTAACTGTCTCGTTTTGTTCTCGTCTGCTTATCGTTCCCCGTTTTTTTTTTTTTTTTTTTTTTTGTCTCGTTAACATCTCTTCTCGTCGTTTCTCGTTCTCGTTTTTCTTCTCCAAGTCTCGTCGTTAACTGTCTCGTTTTTTTCTCGTCTGCTTATCGTTCCCCGTTTTTTTTTTTTTTTTTTTTTTTGTCTCGTTAACATCTCTTCTCGTCGTTTCTCGTTTCTCGTTTTTCTTCTCCAAGTCTCGTCGTTAACTGTCTCGTTTTGTTCTCGTCTGCTTATCGTTCCCCGTTTTTTTTTTTTTTTTTTTTTTTGTCTCGTTAACATCTCTTCTCGTCGTTTCTCGTTTCTCGTTTTTCTTCTCCAAGTCTCGTCGTTAATTGTCTCGTTTTGTTCTCGTCTGCTTATCGTTCCCCGTTTTTTTTTTTTTTTTTTTTTTTTGTCTCGTTAACATCTCTTCTCGTCGTTTCTCGTTTCTCGTTTTCTTCTCCAAGTCTCGTCGTTAACTGTCTCGTTTTGTTCTCGTTTGCTTATCGTTCCCCGTTTTTTTTTTTTTTTTTTTTGTCTCGTTAACATCTCTTCTCGTTCGTTTCTCGTTTCCGTTTTCTTCTCCAAGTCTCGTCGTTAACGTCTCGTTTTGTTCTCGTCTGCTTATCGTTCCCCGTTTTTTTTTTTTTTTTTTTTTTTGTCTCGTTAACATCTCTTCTCGTTCGTTTCTCGTTCTTCGTTTTTTTCTTCTCGTCGTTAACTGTCTCGTTTTGTTCTCGTCTGCTTATCGTTCCCCGTTTTTTTTTTTTTTTTTTTGTCTCGTTAACATCTCTTCTCGTCGTTTCTCGTTTCTCGTTTTTCTTTCTCCAAGTCTCGTCGTTAACTGTCTCGTTTTGTTCTCGTTTGCTTATCGTTCCCCGTTTTTTTTTTTTTTTTTTGTTCGTTAACATCTCTTCTCTCGTTTCTCGTTTCTCGTTTTTCTCCAAGTCTCGTCGTTAACTGTCTCGTTTGTTCTCGTTGCTTATCGTTCCCCGTTTTTTTTTTTTTTTTTTTTTTTGTCTCGTTAACATCTCTTCTCGTCGTTTCTCGTTTCTCGTTTTCTTTCTCAAGTCTCGTCGTTAATTGTCTCGTTTTGTTCTCGTCTGCTTATCGTTCCCCGTTTTTTTTTTTTTTTTTTTTTTTTTGTCTCGTTAACATCTCTTTCCGTCGTTTTCTCGTTTCTCGTTTTCTTCTCCAAGTCTCGTCGTTAATTGTCTCGTTTTGTTCTCGTCTCCTTATC